GAATGTCTCACGTATTACCTAGAAACTGGGGGAAACTGAACAGATTCCAATAAGGCCAGTGGACTGGAGGTGGGTAATGAATCTGAATACGAGCTTCCATTAAACACTTGAGAAGCTTGAGTGTGGGTCGCTCATGGGCATTGGCCTAGCGCAAGAGAAGCCAGGCTTGAAGCCGAGTGACCAAGGCATTTCTCAGTACCAAGTAACAGAAAAAAAAAACATCTGTGTTCTAAAAAGAACACTTATGTTATCTACACTATTAACTAAGCAATAACGCTTTAAATCTAGAAAACTAACTATGATTCATTTACAATGAACACACAGATCACTTGCTAAGACAAGACAAGCAATTCTAATGATCATCATGGGCGATAAGAAGGAACTAAAGGAGCTTGGGGGGCGGCTGGGCGCTTTATACCAGTGCACAGTGATGTGCAGCAGCAGACGGTGCTCAAGCTGCCCCGATAGGTACCACTAAGGGAAAAATTTTCAATGACTGAACAGGGAGTACGCACACCAAAAATGGAATACACATGTGCAAATCACTGAAAGAAGCTAAAATAAACTGTCTCCTGTTTGAGTCCTTCTGGGTTCAGGGAAACAGGACTTTGTACATTCTTTGTAAATAAAAAGAATTGCATCAAATTTACCTGACTCCATCATCAATTCCTCCTCCTAATGATAACCACCTGCAGGACCCTGGACTTCAGCTAAGTGCTCAGGTCATAAGGGGCACCAGGGTTTTCAAATGACGAGTTGCTGCCTCTTTCCAGTTCTTTTTAAAAAATTACACACACGCAGACTGGAAATAAGGTGTAATTTTTTTAAGTGGTGAGAGTAATTAATGATTGGAACTATATATGGAATCATGGTGGATTCTCCATCACTAACAATATTTTAATCGAGGTTTGATGTTTTCCTAAAAAGATATACTCTAGGAAGTATTTTTGGGAAATTCTATGGCCTCTGTTATACAGGAGGTCAGACTAGATGACCATAATGGACTCTTCAGGCTTTGGTATCTATGAGAAAACACACACACAAATCTGAAGATCACAGTGATTGATAATCTGGTAAGCATATATACCCTACCGTCAAGGAACACGAATTACTCTTATTTATTTGTATTCTGATAGTGGCTACAATCAGTTAGCTACTGCCCACACAGAGGAAGACAATTCCTCTTCCAAACAACTCTCAATCTAAAAAGGCCACAATCAAAGAGTGAAGGACAGGGACAAAACCCACAATAGAAATATACATTATATATTTCTATTGTAACCTATATATACACCTACATAAGCACATACATACATACATACACATACATATATATAGCTTTTCTCCACAGATGTTTCATATACCAATGCACCAAAACTCCAGTTAAGCTGACCTTCAAATAAAAAGTTTAACCTTTAAAAAAAAATGTCAGCAGTTAACTGAAGAAATGTCTGAAAGGTGACAACTAAAAAAGGATCAGCTGAAGCCTATATCAGAAAAAGAAACAAAGAAGGTAGTTTACTTGTCTTTGGAACTCATCTGTAGGGACCCCTTGATGCCAACTGGCAGAGTGCATAGGGGGCTCATAGGGTTTTACAGTGATTCCCTGGGTCAGATGTATGCACAATAATTCACCGAAGGGAGGCATGTAAGATTTCTAGCAAGAGCCAGTAGCCCACTGGTTGACATAATCATCGTGAAATGTGTGTGCGGATAATATTTGAGTTATGTATCTATACAGAAAATTATGGTCTTAAGGTCTTGGCGTTAAGGGAGATCACCAGGAAGTGACATACCTTGGAAAAGTTCCTTTCAGGCAGGAGATAGCAGACACCTATCGCCCTGTCTGGTCATTTGCGTATTTTATACCTCAGAGTTATGCCTATTTGTGTACTGAGCCACAGGCTAAATCTACAAGACAGGAAGTCTACAAGATGACACAAACAGCAAGGGGTGTCCCGTTTATGAATAAAACAACAGATGGGACTGGTATATCTTCAGGGTGTGGGGAAAGGGCAAAGAAACACACTGAAATCCTTCACCAAGCAGGTAAGCTGACAGTGCATCTGTCTGATGAAAGAAGAGTCATAGCCTAACCTGTCTGTAAAGCGTTGTAGAGTTTGGCTCACCCAAAATCCTTGCAAGACATAAAAGTATCTAGTGAATTAAGTTTAGGATCTAGAATGCATGTTATGATTCTATTTTATATGTAAACAATTGTTTCCAATACTACTACTTGCTATTACTTGAATCTCTATGCTCTGTTAATTAAACTTATACTTGATTTCATTATAAACATACATAAATTCTGTGCGTTAAGCCAAGTGGTGATCTGAGGTAGAACTGGTAACCTGGGGACTACTCTTTCTTTGGAAGCAGCAAATCTGTGAATACTGCAAGTGTCCCATGGATCGGGGTGAGACACTCCAGGATGACACTCAGAGGACTCAAGGATAGGGTATGTCAATCGCTAACCTAGAGGGTGACAGTGGGGCCAGCAAGGCCTAGAGGGGAATGTTTGTGTTGCAAATGGCTGGAGGAGCTGGGGAGCTAACTCATGACAGGCACAAACAAAGCTTCCTCACACTAAAGACAGATGGTTGAGAGGTGCCTCACAACCCTGGGAGCCCCCAGGAATTGTCAGACATATATGCCCTGCTGATTGGGGGAGAGTTGCATGGTTTAAAACAGATCTGTAAAACACTAAGGCACTAGATTCAAAATGGTAATCTCTATGCTATTATATTTTGGAGAAAAACATTTTCTATCTGCATTATTACCAGTTTTATAACATATAAGAGCTATTTTGACATTATTTGAGAAGAACAGACTCAGCAAGAGATTTCCTTAAATATGAGAAGATAACAAAGAAGTGAAGAAAAACACAAGGCAATAAATTCTATTAAAGGTTTCTGACAAACAAAGATTGGCAGCCTTTTAATATTTATTTGGACTTTCATTTTCCAGAGGAGGTTATGAATTGTTAGTGAATTGTTAGTGAATTAGACATAATGATGTAATTACAATAGTTCAATATGATTTACATTGTTCCATATTGTTTTATAGTTTTCAATACTTTATATATTTTATCACAATTGCTTGTGGATTTTGTGGACATTAGTTTAAATATGTAAAACTTTACGGACAACAGAAATAAAGAACGAATTTTGAAAATAATAAATTAAATAGCTCAGTAATTTGATTTGTATGAAATGGGGAACATATAGAGGTATTTGCATACATTAGTAATGATTGTTTATTTAAAAGCACTCTAAAGCTTAGGCATCCAGTAAGGTGCCTCAATTATTTTGCAAGTGTTCCATGTATGCTTAAATAGATGGTCATATCCTCAGGTCTCCCTACTAACTATCTGCTTCCATCTAAGCACACTGTACTCTGCATTCTATCAACTAGATGTGCAGTTGTTATGCTCTAATGCTGCAGTTTTACCTTAAAAAGTGACTTTGTAAAAATGGCCTGATGGCTATCTTGAGTAGTTTTAGATAAAGAGAACGTTTCTAACTGATAGCCCCACAAACCCACCCAGTAGGAGTTCAAACCCAATATAATGAAGATAAAAGTCAAAACAAAACTGAGTTAAGTTATGCTCTCTTTATGGAGTACAGGTTTGTGAAGGTTCAAGTAGAACACAGGAGTTTGTTCAGTGCAATAGATCAACCATACGACTAAACATGAGAAGTTTTATTTATGAAGTAGTAAATACAGTGAATGGGGAATAACAGTTTAAGTTGGATCATTCCTCTCCTATGTATCTTCCGTGGCCTAATGGCTGGCAGACTGATCACTCAAGTGCTAATAAGGCCAACATTATCAGTAAACAACAACAACATTTGATATTTCTATCAGATATGGGCCTGAACTGACCCACAGATCAAAATATACTTGATCTATGGGGAAGTTCAGATCTGGTACCAAACTTTGGTACCTCTATAAAGGAACAAATCAAAACCTAGATCCAAACATCCCTGTGATTTGGGAAAATCTGGCTCTGGATCCAAGATTTATGGTTCAGGACCATCACTAATTTCTACAGTAACTTCCATCCAAAAGGATCCCAAATCACTTTACAAACTGTAGATACAAAAATCATTCATCCAACATTGAAATGCAGTCACTACTGGGATAGAACAGATCAACTGTTTAACAGCACACAACACTACATAGCAATTCTATACCAGTAGTAAGGAGGGATATTCAATTTAACTAAAACTGTACAAGTAATTTAGGAAGGCAGAATTACTTACGTCACCAATAATGGAGAGTCTGCAAGCCAAATTATGCCCCCTCGTGATATCTGAACAACACTTACAACTAAGGGGGAATATAGAACAGCACAACCCCATGTTTACAAAGTCACTGTAACTTAGGGCTTGTCTACACTACCACACAGGGTTGATCTAAGATACGCAACTTCAGCTACGTGAAGAGCGTAGTTGAAGTCAACGTACTTAGATCTACTAACCACAGTGTCTTCACTGTGGTAAGTCGACCCCTGACGCTCTCCCGTTGACTCTGCTTGCGCTTCTCATTCTGGTGGAGTACCGGAATCGACGGGAGCGCTCAGCGGTAGATTTATCGCGTCTATACTAGAAGCGATAAATCGACCCCCGCTGGATCGATCGCTGTCTGCCGATCCAGCGGGTAGTGTAGACAAGCCCTTAGAAGTGCAAGTTAAGTGCTACTTATAGAAAAATTAAATGCACAGAAGTTTAATTACCCAGATAAACAATTGCTATTGCCACTTTTAATCCTCACCATCCACTAGCACCACATCTACAGTATTTGAGGGGAAGTGTCTTCTGCAACGAGATATATTTTTTCCACAATGTAAATCATACTGCCCTGTTTGATAACATATATAATTAAGTATATGTCACCAAAAATACAATAAGAGCCTGGCTGCTAGTGCTTTTATTCTGAAGATGGCATCGATCTTAGGAAAATAAAACCAACAGAAAATCATCTCAGTGATTACTTACTTTACGGAAGACTCCAGTTCTGACAGAGTTAGTCTGAAATTAGCAATTGTTTTTTCCTATGAAATAAATATGAAATTTATATTACATATTATGCTGCAAAATACCCAGAATAATTCAAACTGGGCATAATTTACTTTAAAGTAGCATTTATAAAAGCTTTAATTTACTATTCAGCAATAGGTAACTGGGTTTTTTAAATGTTCAAATTTCCAAACTTCTTACAATAAAAATGAAACTTAGGACTAATTTGAAGTTTGTAGAAGAAGGATATCTAGCAGTTAAGATAAATGACTGGGAGTCAGTAGATGCAGGTTCTATCACTGGTAGTGCAAGAGCTTAGGTGCCACTTAAATCTTTAAACACAGGGCCTAAGCAATACAAAGGCCTTTTGCATCACAACAAAATCTTGCCCTAATTTTTGTGTACCGCTGTGAGATCCTCAGATGGAAGTTACTAATCAAGTGCAATACACTAAGTAGTTAGTGTACATACCTTGTTAGCTAAGTTGTCATCTAAACATGCAATTCTTTCTGTCTTTTCATCTACAGTTTCCTGAAGACTGTCCTTTTCCTTATCCAGGACACTAATGGTACTTCTGAGCACATTCACGGTCTCATCCTGTGAAGAGCTCTTATGGTTTAACCTATCTGTAAGAGAAGAAATGGGTGTTTTTGTTGGTTTAAATATAGAAAATCAATGCAAAAAAGAAAATGAAGTGATTACCTATTTTCTCCTCTAGCTTTGCAATTTCCTCTTGAGCTGATTGAAGTTCATCCTTTTTAAGAGAGGATTGGTGCTGAAGATCTTCAAGGGACCGCTGTAGTTGTTCATTTAATAGCCTGAGAAATCAACAGTCAGTGGAAAACACAAGACTTTAATCTTTCAGATACATTCTTTGATCAAACTATCAAAGAATTAGAGAAACTGAAAGGATTATCTAAGAGCATCGCTTTGTGGGATTGTTTTGATCAGCCAAAGTTATTTTCATCATCTTAATAAACCAGAACAAATGCAAATAATAAAACCAAAATGCCAGTTTTGCAAGAGGAAAAAAATAAGTGGCCTGATTTTGAAATCAGTGCAGCAACTAGAAATCCCACTGACGTCAACAGGAGCTTTTCTTTATTAAAAAAAAAAAAAAGTCTATAGTATTTGTTTCGTAGAAAGACATTGCTGTAAGCCAACATTGAGCAGAACAAAATCTTGATTGATGCAGTAATAACTGACACATTTAAATTTGTACGATAGGCTGAAAGATTTACAATATCTGTATTGATCTTACCCTCTCCATAAAAAGCAGTTATACCATTTTCAGTTATAATTATGCGGAATTTATTAAACAAGAATTTTTCACCTCATTGAGGACTTCTCTCACTGTTTTATCTACAAGCACATTTTACTTTCTGAAGATTTTCAAGAAAATTATCTACCAGTACAGGCATTCTCAAAACTTTACCAGTTTAACAGTGACCTGTATACACATCCCTCTCTGTTTGTACCAAGCAACTCTATGCAACTACAGCAGTTGCTTAGATAGAATACTTGGGGAAGTATTTAGTGATTTTTAACCATTCTGCTTGTGGCACAATCCTGGAGGGTGGCTCCTGTGTCAAGCAGGAGATATCCTCTTCATTTTCATCTGTTTTTAATGGCATCCAGTCTCCTCTTTGCAATGAGGAGCCACAGATATCTGGAGGAGAAACTGAAAACAAGGCGGTGGGGTCAGCTGTCTGAACCACCACTAAATGCGCTAGGGACCAGTTTCCAAATGGTCATGTTAGTAATACGTCACAGAAGCACGGTACTGACTTTATAGTTAAAAGCTAGATCGAGTGTTCTATTGTAAGTCTTATTTTCATACACTCCTCTGACCTTTTGATCTGAGTGAGCAATTTGTTTAAAATTTCTCTGCGTAATTCTACATGGAATTTTTTTCCCCAGATAATTTCATTTAAAAAAAAGATTACATATTTGTTCAGCAACTGTTGTTCTTCAAGATGTGTTGCATTCCACTTCAGGTGCCTGCATGCCCAGGAACTGGAGCCAGAAAACTTTTTCCCATAGCAGTACTGGTTAAGGCAGCACATGCACCCTCCACATGCTCATGCTGTTAGCCCAGTGTATAAAGGAGTGGAGATGCCTTGATCCCCACTCAGTTCCTCCACACCAGAAGCCAGTGCTTGCTGTGACTCCAGTGTAGGGGGAAGGTGGGTGGAGTATGGAATGGACAAATGCAACACATCTTGAAGAACACAGCAAACAGGTATGTAACCATTTTTTCTTTGAGTGCTTGCACATTTCCATTCTACTTTAGGTGACACACAAACAGTCCCAGATGGAGCAGGGAATCAGAGTTTACCTCAACAAAGACTGCAGCACCACTCTCCCAAATATAGCATCATCCCTCAAGGCCTGGGAGAAAGCATAATGAGCAGTGAGCATACGAACAGATGACAGGTGGCAGCCCTGCAAACACCACTCATGGAAACATAACTCAGGAAAGCAGCTGAATGTGCCTGAGCTTAGAGAGCGCACTAAAGCTCTTTGAGGTAATTAAATGTTGGCAATCTCAGAGCACAGACAACAGGAGGCGATCTAGGAAAAGATATTCTGAAATAATGGTTTTTCTTTTCATCCTATCAGCAAAGGATATGAATAACTGAAGAGATGTCCTAAACTCTTTAGTCCCATCCAGGTAGAAAGCCAAAGCCCTGCGAATGTCCAAAGTATAGAGATTTTTCTTATTTTTGTGTGAGCTTTCAGAAAAAATAGTTGGCAAGTATTATAGTCTGATTCAAATAAACATCTGAAACCACTTTAGTGAGAAATTTGGGATGTGGATACAAACCAACTTTGTCCTAGTAAGATACCGTATAACGAGGGTCAGCCTGAAGTTCTGCAACTCTTCCGGTTGAAGTAATAGCTACCAGGAATGCCACCTTCATCCAGAGATGAGACAATGAGCATGTAGCTATAGGTTTGAAAGAGGGTTCCATTAAAACAGAGAGAACCAAATTTAGATCCCAGGGTGGAGCTGGGTCCCTAACAGGTGGGAAAAGCCTGTTCAAACCCTTCAAAAACCTAATAGTCACAGGGCTGGAGAACAGATCTCCCATCTGTAGAAGAGTGAAATGCAGAGATAACAGTCAGACAAACCCTGAGGGAACTGACTGAGACACTTTTTTCCTGTAAGTGAAGAAGGTAATCCAGAATACACTGAATAGGAGCCAGTGATGGAGAGGTATCTTTCTGCTGGGAACACACAAAAAACCTCTTTTATTCCATGAGATAAGTGTATCAGGTGGAAGGCTTTCTGCTGTTCAGACAAATGCTCTCCACTGCAGCAGAACAGATAAAATACACCTCATTGCTTGGGTGCTCCATTATTGACTCCACAGGAGGCTAAGAGAGTTGGGATACAGAGCCTGGCCCTGTAAAATTATGTCCAAAATCCGGGGAATGGTAATGGGATCTCAAATGGACAGCTTCAACGTGTCCGAGAACCAGTGCTGAAAAAGCCAGGCTACCGTGATCAAAATTAGAACAGCATGATCTTGTCTGAGTTGGCCCAGGACTCTCAGCAGCATAGGGATTGGGGAAAGCATAAATAAGTTTTCCCTTCTAGGAGACCACAAAGGTGTCCAAAATGGACCCTGGGCTGAGACTTGTCCTTGAATAAAACTAGTGACACTTCCTGTTCAGTCAAGTGTTGAACAGGTCCATTTCTGGTATACCAAAAAAATTGACTTTGCTAAATTGGGTCTGAGGGACCATTCATGATCTCCGCTGAATGACCTGCTGAGATGGTCTGCTGGAAAGTTCTGAGATCCAGGAAGATGAGATGCTTTGAGGGTAATCTTTTTCTCGATGCAAAGGGACAGAGCTTCAGTATTTCTTGCCAAAGGGATTTCCCTGTTTGTTGAGGTAAACCATTGCAACAATGTTGTATGTGAGCACTTGTATAGAACAGCCTGCAATATGGGCAGGAACACTTGACAGGCCAGACAAATAACTCAGAGCTACCTGACGTTGATCTGTAGAAAGAGGTCCTGATCAGTCTACAGACCTTGTGTCTGAAAGCTCCCTAGATGTGCTCCCCAACTGAGGAACGAAGCATCTGTGACTAAGGTCACACAAGGCAGAATTGGAGCAAATGGAACTCCACTACATACACTGGCAGGGTCCATTCACCAGTCCAGGCAAGACAGAATAGTTGCAGGAACAGTTGAGTCTGCATTTTGAGTAGATGATGAGAGACACACTTCAACAACTTCTGCAGGACTCTGAGGTGAATTGTGCATGTATTATACGCAAGCTGCCATGTGACCTAGAAGTTTCAGGCAGTTCCCTTCTATTGTACAAAGATATAACTTTAATTCTTTGCAAATGTTGAATATTGCTTGAAATTTGGCCTGAGGCAAATAAGCTCTTCCTGATGTCAAGTCAAGAAGAACTCTTATAAATTAAATTCTCTGTATACGGAGAAGAACTGATTTGTCTTTGTTGATCATCAGGCCAAACAAACAAAATAGGGATCAGATCTTCTCGATGGCTTCCTTCACTTGCTGTCTGGAATGACCTAAGACCAACCAATCACCAAGATATGGACAGACCTGGATTTTTGTCTTCCTGTGATGTGCCGCCCCTACCGACTGCACTTTGTGAAGACTCAGGGGGCTGATAATAGACCAAAAGAACGGAGCATAAACTGATAATGCACACTTGCTACTACAAACCTTAAGGACATTTGGTGACTGTGATGAATGACCATGTGGAAATAGGCACCCTTTAACCCAGGGGCAGTGAACCAATAGTTGAGTTTGGGAATGGATAACAAAAGATAGGGTAAACATATGAAACTTTATCTTTCTTATGTACTTTTTGAGATTTGGCAGTCTAAAATAAGTCTGAGGCCTCGCTTTGACTTGGGGATGAGAAAATGAGAGCTTTATAAATAGGTTGAGAACATTTTACATCATTAATATTTTCATCATTTAAGAAAAGATTTAAGAAAACAAAGATGTTTTTGTAACTTGCAATTTTTCTGCACACATAATAAAGTAGAAAGTTTAACATACTGAGAAAAAAAAGCCTAATTCAGCACAAGGTGTGGGATGCAAAAGTAATATTTAAATAAACATAAGCTATAACAGGCCCCAAAGAGTCTATTCCTGAGCTTCAGCTGTCTGTCTCTCCGACTCCCATTCCATCTTCTGGATCCTCCTCCAAATATCCCAACTGCCCTGCCTTCCACATAACATCTTCATTCCCTCCCACATGCCCCAACTACTCCCACAAAGACCATTGCCCAACACACCACATTTTCCTCTTCCACAAAATATCCCCCTTTGCAACATTTAACCTACCCCAGGCCCCTCCTCCCAAGAAAATATCCCAGTTCCACAATTCTACTCAAAACAAGCTCCAGCTCCCCAGTAGTCTCCTTCTGTGCCCGCTGATATACTCCTATTCCCCTCATGGTCCCACATTAACACTTTGTCTACCCCCCACAACCTCTAAGCCCTCCTGTTATTCCAACACAACCTCCAGACACTCAAAGGGAGCTCCCATCCCAGACAAGCCTAAATAGCTCACCATGCTCCTGCTAGCCTCAATAGGCTTAAGGATAGCATGAGGGGACATGAGAAGACTCTGCTCCTGAGCTCCAGATGGCCACAGCTCTAGTATCAGAGGGGTAGCTGTGTTATTCTGTATCCACAAAAACAACAAGGAGTCCGGTGGCACCTTAAAGACTAACAGATTTATTTGGGCATAAGTTTTCGTGGGTAAAAACCCCCACTTCTTACAGGTCTAGTGCTGCTCTCCCAATGCTCAACAACATCCCAGCTGCCTCAGCTTGTCTGGGCTCTGCTCCAATGGTAGCAACATTGAAAGCACTACTGCAAACAGGGCCCGAGGCAGTTATCAGAGTATTGACTTATCTTATACTCCAGCTAAATCAGTAGTACCTATAGTGGGAGTATGAGTGTAGTCAAAACAATGACATGAGGGAAATTTTAGAACAATAAGCCTAGTCATTTGTCAATATAGACTGGCTCTCTGTGAGATTAGTAAGTAAGGCCAAATTTGTCAAAACTGCATACATAAAATTAGATTTCAGTGAAATCTAAAGAGTTACACCAGTCTGAAAGTGGCATAATCCAGGCCCAATGTTCCAGTCTGTGAGGGCTTTCATCTCCACCCTAAGGAAATGCATGTGCAGCATCTGTTAGAAACTTCATTTTCCTCCATGATCATACCTAGGGAACACAGTTGTTGGGAAAAAATGAAATAATTCTGAGGGCAGGAAAATTTTAAGAGATCAACCCTGACTACTGCCTTGTTTATAGACTTGAGATTGGAACTCCAAAGTACAGGCGGAGTAACACACGTAGATGGAGGAAATTACCCCATTATAGAAATTTTAAAACTTTTTTTTTAAACTTAACAAATGCGTTTAATAGCATTTCTTCTCAAATTGCACCTAGCAACCTTCACTATAACTTAGTGAACTTTTCAGTTTTGGTATTTTCGTTACTCCAACTTAGTATAACAAGTGATTGACTCTGTACAAAGATTTTCACAGCTTCAGGAGTTTGTGTCTTTTCATGTTGGCAATAAGATTATCTTTCATTTGCAATTGGCACTTTAAAAATATTATTATATTTGCTCACTATACAACTACACTGGAAGCCCAAGAGAATCTAGAGCACCTTTTCCTACTAGTGTTTTCTTGTCAGTGCAAGACAAACAATACCAGGATATTTGAAAAATATTTTATGAAAGTGTTACCGTGAGTTATCTATCTCTGTCATGTTAATCTATGACAAAATTGTATGTTAACTGCTATAACTGGACACAAAATTTTAAGCTAAACTTACTGAAGTGAGCATAACTCAGCTTTAAATTGTGAAGAGTTATCAGATGTCTGGGCAAGTTTATAAGACTTTGATTTTAATTCATCTTCCAGAGAGTTTATTCTTTCTTTCAGTACAGAGATTGTACTCTTCAGTTCAAACTGCTGTGTTTCAAACTGTAATTAAAAAAAAAAACAAAGAAGTTGTGGAATTACAGTGGAATGATTTTACTTAAAAGAAAATATAAGGGTTTTAAAAAGCCACTTGGGTGAGAAAGAACTTCTGTTAGAAGTTTACTCACTAACATGTTACTTACCCCACAAATCGTGTTTTCCAGTTCTGTGATGTTATGCTCCATCTTTGATTTCTCAAAGGCAGTTGCCTCCTGCTGGACCTGACATGGAAAGAAATACAGAATTACTTGTAACAGTAAGTAATTTTTTAGACTGGAGTATGACTTAAGATGGCGATGCTCTTTGCATAATATAAAGTTCTAAAAGAAAAAAAGCCTTATCTTCATATGTACATGATTGGAGCAAAGCACACAATGAACTCCAGAGCTTCAAGACCTGAACAAACAATAACGTAGGTACAATACAATGTTTCTCATGATTTTGTGAGATGTCTTTAAATCTCTGTATGATTCAACCATTGGAAGAATTTAACAGAAAAAGTAAATTTCCTTTTCCCTTATGAAATAATCTCTGGTGGGTTGCTATAGAGAGATTACAAAACCAAAGCAATGCCAGATATGGTAAGGTAAGACATCAGAATTATAAGCTATTTTCTAAAAGGCATTGTCAAGGTTTAAAGTAATTTTTAAAATCTGTTTTCACTTGTTACAAACACAACCTTGGAAGCTTGAAGCTTAAGGTCTGCTTACAAATCAAACTGATCTTTCCCCGGTTCAGCATTGCACCATTATTTGCTGTTAAAGCACCTTTATCTACCTTCTGATTTCTATATATGAGTATTGTGATTTCATTAGACAAGCTTGTGCACTTCCTCAGAAACCTGTGGATAATGGTTCGTACATTTCTCTTTATCAAGAGAGCAGTGGCTCTAGTCTGATTTCCCCTTCTTCACAGACTTGCTTTGTATAAATGGTATACCCAAACCAGACTCCTTCCATCCCTTGCTGCTGCTGCTTTTCCCATTTTGGGGAAGCCACTTGGGACTAAAGAATTGGAAAACATGCCTTACAGTGATTGTTAAGCAAAGAGATTCAAGGAGCTCAAAGAAGATAAAGGAGAGAGACTTGGTCACAGTCTATAAGTACCTACATGGGGAACAAATATTTGATAATGGACTCTTCAGTCTAGCAGACAAAGGTATAACATGATCCAACAGCTGGAAGTTGTATAAACTGTTCAGGAAGGACAGACAGGGCAGAAAAGGTGGGGGAGTTGCATTGTATGTAAGAGAGCAGTATGACTGCTCAGAGCTCCAGTATGAAACTGCAGAAAAACCTGAGTGTCTCTGGATTAAGTTTAGAAGCATGAGCAACAAGGGTGATGTCGTGGTGGGAGTCTGCTATAGACCACCGGATCAGGGGGATGAGGTGGACGAGGCTTTCTTCCGGCAACTAACGGAAGTTACTAGATCGCAGGCCCTGGTTCTCATGGGAGATTTCAATCACCCTGATATCTGCTGGGAGAGCAATACAGCGGTGCACAATCCAAGAAGTTTTTGGAAAGTGTAGGGGACAATTTCCTGGTGCAAGTGCTGGAGGAACCAACTAGGGGCAGAGCTCTTCTTGACCTGCGGCTCACAAACCAGGAAGAATTAGTAGAGGAAGCAAAAGTGTATGGGAACCTGGGAGGCAGTGACCATGAGATGGTCGAGTTCAGGATCCTGACACAGGGAAGAAAGGAGAGCAGCAGAATACGGACCCTGGACTTCAGAAAAGCAGATTTTGACAACCTCAGGGAATTGATGGGCAGGATCCCCTGGGAGAATAACATGAGGGGGAAAGGAGTCCAGGAGAGCTGGCTGTATTTTAAAGAATCCTTATTGAGGTTACAGGGACAAACCATCCCGATGTGTAGAAAGAATAGTAAATATGGCAGGCGATCAGCTTGGCTTAACAGTGAAATCCTTGCTGATCTTAAACACAAAAAAGCTTACAAGTGGAAGATTGGACAAAAGACCAGGGAAGAGTATAAATATATTGCTCAGGCATGCAGGAGTGAAATCAGGAAGGCCAAATCACACTTGGAGTTGCAGCTAGCAAGAGATGTTAAGAGTAACAAGAAGGGTTTCTTCAGGTATGTTAGCAACAAGAAGAAAGTCAAGGAAGTGTGGGCCCCTTGCTGAATGAGGGAGGCAACCTAGTGACAGAGGATGTGGAAAAAGCTAATGTACTCAATGCTTTTTTTGCTTCTGTCTTCACGAACAAGGTCAGCTCCCAGACTGCTGCACTGGGCAGCACAGCATGGGGAGGAGGTGACCAGCCCTCTGTGAAGAAAGAAGTGGTTTGGGACTATTTAGAAAAGTTGGACGAGCACAAGTCCATGGGGCCAGATGTGCTGCATCCGAGAGTGCTAAAGGAGTTGGCGGATGTGATTGCAGAGCCATTGGCCATTATCTTTGAAAACTCATGGCTATCAGGGGAGGTCCCGGATGACTGGAAAAAGGCTAATGTAGTGCCCATCTTTAAAAAAGGGAAGAAGGAGGATCCTGGGAACTACAGGCCAGTCAGCCTCACCTCAGTCCCTGGAAAAGTCATGGAGCAGGTCCTCAAGGAATCAATTCTGAAGCACTTAGAGGAGAGGAAAGTGATCAGGAACAGTCAGCATGGATTCACCAAGGGCAAGTCATGCCTGACTAATCTAATTGCCTTCTAGGACAAGATAAGTGTCTCTGTGGATGAGGGGACAGCAGTGGACGTGTTGTTCCTTGACTTTAGCAAAGCTTTTGACATGGTCTCCCACAGTATTCTTGCCAGCAAGTTAAAGAAGTATGGGCTGGATGAATGGACGATAAGGTGGATAGAAAGCTGGCTAGACTGTCGGGCTCAATGGGTAGTGATCAATGGCTCGATGTCCAGCTGGCAGCTGGTATCAAGCGGAGTACCCCAAGGGTCGGTCCTGGGGCAGGTTTTGTTCAAAATCTTCATTAATGATCTGGAGGATGGTGTGGATTGCACCCTCAGCAAGTTTGCAGATGACACTAAACTGGAAGGAGACGTAAATACGCTGGAGGGTAGGGATAGGATACAGGGGGACCTAGACAAATTGGAGGATTGGGCCAAAAGAAATCTGATGAGGTTCAACAAGGACAAGTGCAGAGTCCTGCACTTAGGACGGAAGAATCCCATGCACCGCTACAGACTAGGGACTGAATGGCTCGGCAGCAGTTCTGCAGAAAAGGATCTAGGGGTTACAGTGGACGAGAAGCTGGATATAAGTCAACAGTGTGCCGTTGTTGCCAAGAAGGCCAATGGCATTTTGGGATGTATAATTAGGGGCATTGCCAGCACATCGAGGGACGTGATCGTTCCCCTCTATTCGACATTGGTGAGGCCTCATCTGGAGTACTGTGTCCAGTTTTGGGCCCCACACTACAAGAAGGATGTGGAAAAATTGGAAAGAGTCCAGCGGAGGGCAACAAAAATGATTAGGGGACTGGAACACATGACTTATGAGGAGAGGCTGAGAGATTGTTTAGTCTGCGGAAGAGAAGAATGAGGGGGGATTTGATAGCTGCTTTAAACTACCTGAAAGGGGTTCCAAAGAGGATGGATCTAGACTGTTTTCAGTGGTAGCAGATGGCAGAACAAGGAACAATGGTCTCAAGTTGCAGTGGGCGAGGTTTAGATTGGATATTAGGAAAAACTTTTTCACTAGGAGGGTGGTGAAGCACTGGAATGCGTTACCTAGGGAGGTGGTGGAATCTCCTTCCTTCGAAGTTTTTAAGGTCAGGCTTGACAAAGCCCTGGCTGGGATGATTTAATTGGGAATTGGTCCTGCTTTGAGCAGGGGGTTGGACTAGATGACCTCCTGAGGTCCCTTCCAACCCTGATATTCTATGATTCTATGAAGCTAGAAAAATTCAGACTAGAGATAAGGTGCAAATTTTTAACAGTGAGGGTAATTAATCATTGGAACAATGTAACCCCAGCTTGTGGTGGATTCTCTATCAATGGCAATTTTTAAATCAGGACTAGATGTTTTTCTAAAGGATATGCTCTAGTTCAAACAGGTATTAGTTCAGGGAAGTTCTATGGCCTGTGTTATGAAGGTCAGCCTAAACTATCACAGTGGTCCCTTCTGGCCTTCAAATTTATGGCTACGTCTACACTACGAGCTAGGGGTTTGAGTCCCCTGCTTGTGTACACATACCTGCACTAGCTCTCATCAAGGTAGCATGAGTATATATAGCAGCGTAGCCACACTAGCATGGGTAGTGGTAGTGGAGGCATAGATGAGCCATTCCAAGTACTTACATACTGGTTTTGGGTGGGTTTGTACTCGGCATGACTCAGCCATGCCTTTCCAGTCACTACCAGTAATGCTGTAACTACACCGCTGTTATCAAGCTAGTGTGAGTATGTGTACACAAGCAGGGGAAATTACACCCCTACTTTGTAGGGTAGACATAACCTATGAATCTAAAGGAGTTGAGGTAAGAGGAGATCTAGCTCCCCCATGCCAGCTGAGGCAGTGCATCACTGTGGTATCATCTGTGACTACATGAATCATCAGGTACTCAATTAGGGGTAGGAAAGCCATATCAGCACAACCCTGAGCTCCAGAATGTTTAAGAGGAGGGTGGTCTCAAGAGACTACCCTCTCTCCTGTACCTTCTATTGATATATGTGGTCTCCAGTTGAGAAGGGATTATGTTAACTTGAACTGGTATATATGATATGATACGTTGTTATAGGATAACTGATGCTAAGTGAAATTGTACTGTGGGGTATGTTGTTGGATGAACACCAAAATAACATATGGTGCTGGGTGTATAGACGCTTGGACTTTTGGATGGAAACACCACCTGGTCCGTTTGTTTGGAACTTTGGGAGTTTTGAATTTGAAGGGTTGTTGGTTAGCTCCTGAGATGGGGAACAGGATCATATAGGGGGTCAGAGAACTATATTGTGATCAGGAAGAGCACTACTACTGGGCTCTCATAAAATTAGGCTTTCCTTTTAAAAGGCAGAAGTAGAAGGAATACTGAAAGCGGTTGCTGTTTATGATATGGTTACTCTAGTTAAATAAAAGTATACCGGTTTTTCAAACTCAAAGTCCCAGGCATAGTAAATCAGTGGGTGTCTGAAGAGATCTGCAGGGTCCTTGAAACAGAGTTAGGCAAAGCAGCCAGAATTGCCCAATATTCACAGGAAAGTGTTCTGAGAGGAAGCTTAGAGGGATTACTAGTAATCCAGAAACA